TGCTTTATCCTGCTGCTCTAGGCATCTTAAAAGTTAATCACTACCAACAGCAGGATCTCTCTTTACTGTGTGTTCAAGTTATTTGTTTTTGGATGTACCCTGGTGGTGTCTCCTGCATATGCACCCACACGTGCACCCTTAAACCAAATGGAGTTATTCATATGGTCTAATAGAGTTGACAAATGTACGCGCTCTAAGTAGTTTTGATAGAATTTTAATCCCTGTGCTTTTCTGCTGCCTTTGAGATAATTCAGCATAAAAGTTCTTTTAAATGCAAGTTGGTTTGTGGAATTGCCAGTTACATTAAATCCTATTAAAATCATAGCTTGGCTTCGAAACTGAGCTTTAAACACCATAAAAATAACCCTCACATTTCCATACAAATAAAATTCCCAATGTCCCTGAGCAGTTATGAAGTGAACATGCATTGTGCTCTGGAGTAAGCTGAGTTGCACATTGCCATGGCCCTGTTGGACACCTGACATTAGCCCTTTTGTTAGGTTTTGTGCATGACCCAAAAAATACCTTTAGACAGACTGACCATTGTTTCCAGTGTTTATGCAGTAGATTCTGTTTCTTGAAAAGGTTGGCAATTTTTTTCCTGTATTTTTAGAGCTAATGTACAAGATTTATTTCCTTTAGAAAGTTGGACTTTGTTCAGTGACCCTAGTTCATTGTACAGTGGTTGCTAAATGCAGGCCTTATCCTTTCCTTTGCACATCAAATTCTGTACCCCCATTTTGATGCACATACTCAGTTACAGTCCTTACTATGCTGGTATGTATCTATATACAGTTTGGGGTAGTGATTAAGTGCACGGACTCTAATCTGGGAGAACCAGGTTTAATTCCCCACTCCTCCACTCACAGCTGCTGGATGACCTTGGGCAATCCATAGTTCTGGCACAGCTGTTCTTGAAAAAAGTGCAGTTTCTGTCAGAGCTCTCTCAGCCCCTCCTACCTCACAGGATGTCTGTTGTGGGGAGGGAAAGGAGTTTGTAAGCCGCTCTGAGACTCCTTTGGGTAGTGAGGGGTGGGGTATAAATCCAATCTCCTCCTCTTCCTCTTCTTCTTCTTCACAGTATAATTTATTATTCCAACCATTATGGTCATAACCAAAACCAGAGAAATAACACCACTTTAAAGGTATTTTAAACATTTGTAAATTTCTGGTGTTCCGAAAATTGGAATCTGAACACATTTCACACAAGTTTACAGGGAAGGAAACCACATAAATTACTATATTGTTACATTTTAGCCACTCACCAAACCACTTCCTTGACTTCTGAGCAGCCACCGCAATCTGACTGCTTTGTCACAAATTTGTAATGATTATTCAGTAAAACTAATCTGTATTGAATTTCTTATAAATAGTATCAATCCAAGTGTGCGGATTTAATTTCTTTCTGCTAACACTTTAAAAGAAAGAAGTGTTAACAGCAGCTACCACCTTCTCTGTCAGTAAGTATTTCATCACCGTTTCTTCACCTATAATTACATTCTGTGCTAATAACAGTGCCATAGTATCTGTCCTGTTGCTCATCAGTGCCACATGCCTTCAGCTTCTGTTATACCCAAAGGCTTGTGAGCTGGGAGTAGTTGTTTCCACCAGATGTTTGTGTTGTGGTTAACTGTTTGCAGAAGTGCCACCATACAGAATGTAGAAAGAGTAGCAGCAGCATCTGGGATACCAGAAGGTGTCTCTATGCCTGTCTACCCAGCAGTATTTATATGTGGCATGTGCAAATTGTGTGCGAGGTATCCTGTAATATATTAGGGCTTAACTTAATTTCTAGAAAGTTCAAAAAGATATCTGGACACTTTCAGAAATTAGCTGGGAAAATATTAACGCTACAGTTTCCTTCATGGTGGGCAAGGATGTGCTTTTTGCTTATTGGGGGGAGCTTAAAATGAGGCTTTATATTTCGAACGTGATATTTATTTTGTGATGCAGCCCCTGATGTGAGGCTGTTTCCAAGCAGGGCGTTTTAAAATTATAATGCTACCTGCTGGTCAACATTAAAAATGTAGGAAAGGCTTTATTTGCCTTCCTGCATTGTAATTCACCAAAGTCTTGAACCACAATTGCAGAAGGTGGAATAGAAAAGGATAGGCACAGCTAGGAACAGGCAAGAGCCAATGTGAGAGAATAAGATGAGTGGCAAATAAAAGAAGGCAGACATAAAATGGAAGCCAGTAGCTTGATGGGTAAGATGGAATCAGTGAGACAGACCTGAATGAGAACCAGAAACCAGGATCAGAGCCAGGTGTCTAACTCATGCAGTTAATTATGATTGTACATGGCTTGGGTTTCAGGATGAAAACTGCACTAGAGCAAAGTATGTGGTTTGAACAGTTAAACCAAGAGGTTGGAAGGTAAACCTAGGTGGCAGGTGTAAATCTGGGTCGTCAAGCCACAGTCTGTACAAGCTGTACTAGAAGCTTAAGAGCAGGTTGATGCACCCCCTAGACAAGTCTGTACTATAATTCTCGGTGCCTGTTAAGTCCTCTTCATACGGTATGGTCAGAAAGCACCAAGGGTATGTTTCACATGTTACAAACCACACAACATCATACTGTGATATAGCATAGGCAACCACTGTATGAAAACTGGCCAGAGGCTAATTGCAAACCTGTATCCCCTAACACCTATCAATCCCAACATTCCATCAAACCACTTGCCAACATGTCATTGAAGACTGTTTTTTGACTCTGGCTAGTTGAAAGCACCAGCCAGAAGATCTTGATGCTGGAGACCAGCATATCAGTTTCCACCTCTCTTCGTTCAATGGGAAGGAGCTTTGGAAGAGTAGGAGAGCAAAGCAAGAGGAGACTTGAAAGGGTCGCAGAGGAAAGCATAAAATACAAAAGAAGCAGGGAAGCCCACTTTACACCACCACTTAAACTTCAGGTTCTTGTTGGCTCATTGCCATCACCTCTTCTTCTATGTGTTGACCAGCTCTGCTTTTTTCCATTCTGCTGTTCTCTCACCTACTTGCCTCCTCCCATGGGATTCCACTTTTGGCCCCTTGGTAATTTAGACTACAAAACAGAACCTTCCCAGCCACAGATCCTCAGGCAAGCCAGTATAGCCAGTTGATGTGACCCTGTGGCATTGCCTGGCCTCTGATTATTTGTACCTGGTTCCACACAGCACCACTACAGCCTGGTTACCCTAGTGATTATCCTTCTCATAATCTTTTATTACTTACCTCGGAGCCAACCCTACCCATCTTCTGACTTCCTCTCCTGCTTGTCTCATCCCACATAATGTCTTGAATAAAAGCTTTGATCTTCTACCTCATCTTGGCTACCCATGAGATAAGCCTCTGATTATGAGCCTTCCACTCATATTTTTTCCCTTTGAGATCTCCCTTTAGTTCATTTTTCCCCGTGGATTTCTACCACACTCAACCTTGTCTAAAAGAGGGGAGGTGGAGTCCAGTTGTGGATTTTGCCCTTAAATGTAGGGGCTGAGCTGTGAGTAGTCCATGGGGGCTTTATGGAAGCTTGGGGGCTCTCTGTCTCTGCCCCTCCTAGAGTTCTTGCAAGTGCCAGTTGCGGCTATGACTGCCCCCTCCCTGTAGGGGCTCATTTACAGTTCAATTTTTGGTCTGCTGTCTCCAGCAGTGTCTGTGGGGGGCGGGGTTCAGCTCCATGTGGATTATCCAGCCTTAAACCTAAAGAGACAGTAATCTAAGTACATACAAAGAAGAGGGTACATTTGGTTAAGAGTATTTGACTTGTGGAATTCACAGACACATATTGTAGTGTTTTATTACTGGTGGTGGCTTTAAAAGAAGACTAGATAGATTGATTAGGAGGGGATGAGTCTTTTGTATGTGATGTTTTGATGTGCTACCCAGTAGAATAAAATGTTCCCCCCTCAATATATCTTAACACTAATTAGTTGAGGAATTTTTTACTAAACAGTTGGTTGGTAGCAAATTATACCTGGCCACCAGGCCCAGCTGCAATTTGTGGATCTACCCCATGGCAATAATTTTGGTTTCATTAGTGATGTCATTTAATATGTACAAAGAGAGAATCCCATTGTTTATTGTTGTTACATGTTAGGTGGTGTTAGCCATTTTTTGTTGTTGTTAGATTTGCTGGAAGCTGTCTTGAGCTACAGAGAAGGGAGACAAAAATGTTTAAACGAGTATGATTAAGTGGTAGAATGCATTCACCATGCCTCCCACTGTGGAGAAAAGATGAATTTTAAGTTCCTGCTGGATAATCTGTGTATTGTTCCTTAAAGAATCTTTCAGCGTTTGTTGTTGTTCAGTCGCACAGTCAAGTCCGACTCTTCGCGACCCCATGGACCAGATCACGCCAGGCCTTCCTGTCTTCCGCCGTCCTCTGTTCAGCGTTTGTGCATCTAATCAAATTAATTGGCAAGAGAGCACAGGATGGCTTTCAGGGCTCCCCTTGCCCCTAGTGTTGGGAATGCTTTCCCTGTCCTCTGTGCAAGGTCAGCAGTAGTTCTAGGATGTAGACAGAAACTTGCATCACAGCTTGGAAGGGGGTTGGAATTGAACTGCTAAGCAGTCATTCTGAAATTAAAATAACTTCATCAGTATGGGAGATCTAACATCCTATTGTTCTAATCACTATTAGAATTGATGCTGTATCAATAATGAGCTTACCTAAATTCTGTTTCACTTTCCTGGCTTTCCTCACATTGGCTTTTTGGTGCCAACTCAGTACAGTGTCTCTGAATGCAACATATAAAATGTAGTAGTATCCTTTTTAACATATTAAAGGCTTTTACAGGCAAAATAAATGTGCTGCATATTGACTCGTATAGGAAATGTGTAAACATATAAAGAACAATGGGGACCTGCCTTTCATTTTCTAATGTTTGAGAGGTAATTGGTTTGCTGTGCAAAAATGTCAGTTCCTTTTTAAGTTGCATATAACTTTTGGCTTGCTGCCAGAACATTGTGATGCCCACACCTTGCTTGTTCGCAAACTCACTTATTTGGGTTGTATTTCCAGCATATGCAGATGACAATTCAGGCTCTTCAAGATGAACTTAGGATCCAGAGGGACCTGAACCAGCTTTTCCAGCAAGACAGCAGTGGTAGACCTAATGAACCTTTTGTAGCAGAACTTACAGAGGAAAACTTTCAGCGGCTGCATGCAGAGCATGAACGCCAGGCCAAGGAACTCTTCTTGTTACGCAAAACTTTGGAAGAAATGGAGCTGCGCATTGAAACTCAGAAGCAAACCTTAAATGCTCGTGATGAGTCCATCAAAAAGTTATTAGAAATGTTGCAGAGCAAAGGGCTGTCTGCAAAAGCCACAGAGGAGGATCATGAGAGGACCAGACGGTTGGCAGAGGCAGAGATGCACGTCCACCACCTGGAGACCTTACTAGAACAGAAGGAAAAGGAAAACAACTTGCTAAGAGAAGTGAGTAGTGATCCTGATTGTATGAAAACGGTTTTTCTCCCCCATCAGTTATGAGCTTTTTTCTTTCACCATCTGAAATTAATTTCAGTTCACTCTTGTCTCTCAACTAATCCTGCTCTTCTCAAGTAATTAGCTACTCTTTTCCCATTTACTTTTCTCTTTTGACATAGGATGTGTAGTTTAAAACTGATGGATGCTACTTAAATCCTGTGTGTTTGATAATTAGTTACTATAGACTTGGAACATAACCTTAGAGATCATTGACAAAGTTAAGTTTGCTCAATCTTACCTTAGTTTGTCTTTGTCTATTTTGAGATTCTTTGCAAAGGAGTAAACCTAAATGGGCGTCCTTCAGCATCTCAAAAACTAGCAAAATTTTATTCTTGCATAAACTTCTGTGGATTAAAGAATAGGGCTCTTATCCACAAAAGCATGTCCTGGAATAAAATATTGTTAAAGTGCCACAATCCTGTGGGGTTTTTGCTGCAGCAGATTATCATAGTTTTTCCTCTGATAAGGAAGTGCCTGTTTCTTCCTTTAATCTGTTAAACTACTATACACACTGATGACTTTGTATAGGTCTAGGAAATAGACCTACATCTAGAAATTGGCATTGTTTCACTACAGATCTGCTTACTGTAAATCATTCTTATTACAGTGTGTTCAGTTCATGGTGTTCTGTATAGGTCTTAAGACACAGGAATATGTGCATAGGAAACTTGTGTGTCTTTGACAGCCATTTCAAAGTATTTTCACAACAGGAACTGATACATGTGTAGGCACCCTGTCTCTGAAGTCTGAAAATGAGGTATTTTACCTTAACCTGGGACATGAAGCCTGTCTCATAACAATGATCTGAACAGATGGAACAGAATATTGAGGTATTGAAGCCCTCCAATGTTTGGTGAACTGAGATTTATAGAAAAAGAGATTTGTAGAAAAAGCCCAGAAGGAACTCATTAGCATAATAGGCCACACCCAACAGCAGAAATTCATTTGCTTATTAGGACACACCCCTGACAGCACAGCTCATTAGCATATTAGGCCACACACCCCATGTTTGCAGAAATGTGGTCATCCAGACACACTCACCTTTTGCTTCTTATTCTGTTTACCTTGTTTGTTGTCAAAACCCAGGGCTTTTTTATTGCAGGAACTCCTTTGCATGTTAGGCCACACACCCCTAATGTAGCCAGTCCTAGTGAGTTTCTGCTGTTGGGTGTGGCCTATTATGCTAATGAGTTCCTGCTGGGTGTGGCCAACTCGGGAGCCAGCCGGAACTCCGTTCCTGTGCGTTCCTGCCCAAAAATAGCTCTGGCTGCATGTCTGAAAATAAGATGTGTGTGGAAGAACTTCATGTGTTTTAACAATCCTTGGAATGAAGTAAGAAAAATAGCCAGAAGCTATTTTATGTGCAGAATTGCAAGATGCATTTACTCTTTATGTATAAAAATAACAAAAAATTGCTTGAATCAATAGAAGATAATGCTGTATATTGGTCTATGTACATGGTCGTATTTTGAAAACTAAATGAACAGCTACCTGTATTTAGAAATACAAGGGAAAATCTTGGCAGCAGTAATCTATGCTTGCTCTGCAGTTCCCATGGAAACAGTCAGTTTGCTACGAAATGGTATTTGATGAAATCATTTGCTGCCTTGGATTCATAGCCCAGAACACATTATTTAAAATGTAATAACTGTTGCCTTTTGGAGCATTGCATTCTCCATCACCAATTTAGTGTAAACAGTTCACAAAATTATGGTAAAATTTAGCTGAAGAACACTATGGACCGTAAGCAGTAAACAAATCATACTGCCTAGATGCTTTCTGCCACTTTGCTCCCAGAAAATAGGGTTGGGGAAAAGCCAGGCTGATGAAAGAATTTTCATGTATTCAGGTGAAGGTTAGGCAGACAACAAGTAAGTTCTGGCTAAAGAGACTAAAGGTAGATTGGGCAAGTAATATTTTAGTTGTAATGTTTTATATATTTACTGTACAAAACTCATAGCAGCGTACAGAACCAAAATGATATTCCATGTTATTCTGCCTCTCTGGCTGTGTAAGTAAAATATGTGGAGAGGAGCATTTTAGAGGTGGAGAATGCCAGTGCCTTGAACTGATAGGTAAGAAGCAGCTTGTCACGGTATCCAGTGAATGCATTCTCGTGGCTCTGTACCCGTCAATAGATGTTGCTCAGCACCTCCAAGAGTTTCTGAACACTTTTCAGGGACAGTTTAAGCACGTTTTGAACCCTGTTGCTTCTGGTTTGGTGGAAAATTATTATAACTGATGTTAGCAGCAAGCTAGGTTAGTTAATTCCTGAGTACATCTCTTCAATTTTACAGACTTCTTTCCAGAATAAGAGCTTAAAGTACAGAGAGGACTGATCACGCAAGAAAAAATACTGTCGCAAAGCTTGCAAGCCTTTTTTTTTGCCACCCTTTTTCCTGTTATGCCAAGGAAGAATTCAGAGGTCATAAAATATCTAATTTCTGCCAGTAGTGGTATATGACAATCCTTATATTCTGAACATTAAAAGCATAAATAGGCTTACATGCTTACATGGATTACATGCTTACATGGATTTCCCTCTCCTCCTTCCACTCCTCCAGTTCTAGTTGATTGTTCTTGACATGCTTTAAAGAGAGAGCTACTGATTGGTATCAGTGGTTACAGAGAAACTGAAAAGCACCTGTTTAAGGTATGCTAAAAACTGATTTCACACATGTCACTTTGATTCTCTTTCACCCAATGTTGGGGGAGTGCCTGTGTGAAAGATAGAAATACAGTTTTAAATGTGTCATGAATGAGCAGAGGGGAGAACGAAAAAGGAGTACAGCAGCGGACACTGCCATGCTCCCCTGATTCTAGCTTTGCCTTCCACAGATAATCCAGGCCCCCACTTCCTACTGCATGCATTCTCTCGGTGTATTTAATGTAACTAAAGAGGCACCTCATTTTCTTCTACAACTGTGATCATGTAGATGCAGATCTCTCAGTTGTCTGTATCTTTCTCCATATTCCTAAACATTGGAAGATTTTTTGTTTGGAGGAGGCTGCGTATGCATCAGTATTGATGCATGTAGTAATAATCTGACAAGGAATTGCAGAGGAAAAATAGGCAGGACTGTTAACC